TTTTTGGTTTTTCTCCGGTACCGGGAACCGAACTCACGACCTTGCGCTTGCCAGGCAGGCGCTTTTTGCCGCTGAGCTAAATCCCCAGCCCCCCAGCTGCCCTTTTTGACTTAAGGCTAAGACCTAGTCTGGCAAAGAAGATGGAGCCACTCGTTTCTGAAGAGATGAACCTGTGGATGTCTGCCAGAGCAACAGGCATCAGAATGAAGGCCAGCAAACCCTGTGAGCTGGCCCCTCGCGGGTGCAGGTAAAATCTATATATACAGGAGCCTGTGTGATAAAGGATCAAATATTGGAGCCACAAGCCAGAAAAATCCAATTACATAGTCTTGGATCTTGCATCATATCTTCTGAAAACACACATGGCAACAGTCAGATATAGCCTGCTTCCTCATAAAACTTCCTGTTTATAATCATATGTGTCTACAATGGTAAGAGTAATATATTACTGGTAGTAATATATTTTAGATGATATTGTATTAATTAGCCACTAACTAGTCATTGCAAATCCATCAGCTTCTAGCTTATTTAGCTATTGGATTACCTAATAAATTTCTTCATGTCTGGTATTTGGCAATGGCAGAGAGATGTGAAAATGATATTTCTGCCTTTGAGAAGCCAACATATATTTTATAAAATAAATACAAGGATAAAGTGAGTATTAAAGTTTCCAAAAAGTAAGGACGATTGTGAAAAGAAAATTTAGAGATGAAAACAGCCAGGGAAATACTTGAATATTTTGTGCATCATGAAGGAAATATTTGATCTTTGTCGGCAGAGAAGAAAGGATTTGGCTGTGTGCAGCTAAGCTATGTAGGTAACAATGGAAACATCTTGCATGGATTGAGGAGAGAAAGAGGCACTGAAAGCTTGGACAAAGAGTGGAGTGATAGAAAGAGTGATGAGAAGACCAGTCTGAAAAATCTCATGAAGGTCAAGTTTGTTGGAATAAGACGTTAGACATGCTAGATGGATTTCTCTGATGAAGCTCTTAAATGCCTGGCCAGGATATTTGGGTAATCATTCATTCACTCATTCATTCATTCACTCATTCATTCATTCACTCATTCATTCATTCATTCACTCATTCATTCATTCATTCACCAAATGTTTACTTGTTAGGCTGTAGACTAGACATTGAAGGTGGAAAAACATCAGTGCTTGCCCTAAGGAATTCATACTAAGGAATAGTGGCACAAGAACAATTTATTATAATATAATAATGGCTCTAAAAGAGGTCTGTAAAAATGACAAAGACTAATTTAAGCAGGAGGATTCATTTTGTCTGAAAGGGGACCAAGGCTAAAACATCTTGGATAAAAGTAACCTTGAGCAAATGGAAGCAGTGGGTCTGGGCAGTGAAGCTGTTGTGAACAATGCCGTGAACAGACGCCATGAGAGTGGAGTAAATACTATCACACACACTCAGTGGGTACCTGTGAAGAAGAGGACAGCAGAGGTAGATACTTGCAGATGCAGCAAAGCTTAGGTGTGGTCTGCTGCGAAGAGGCAGTGACCACAGAGAACTTGGTGGTAAGAATTAGAAACTGGTGACAAGTCCCTGGTATCCTTGCAAGCAGCAACATGCTTTGTGGGAAAGGACTGCTGCACCCTCTTTACCCCAGTCCCCATTGCAAGGACAGCATGCTTGGTCATTTTCTTTTCTGGTCCTTCATTACCTCTGGCATTCTTTTTGTGCCTCTGAATCTGCCTTTCTTTCCTTCCTATCCTTAATGCCCTTATTTTACCAGAGAAATCTTCATAATAAAATGTTATATCTTTAAACACCCAAGGACCTCCTCAATCCACTAGTAAATATTTCTTCTTATTGTATGATTGTACTATGGCACTTACATTTCATTATGTTTGGTTATTAATATGCAGATCTTTCATCCATGACCATTCTTTAAGGGTTATGTCTTATTATAGCAGGTTCAGGCAGTAATAGAAAATCCTTAGTTTTGACTTCAAATCCCTGCTTTATACTTGCTCTGAAACTTTAAGAAGCATCGTTAATCTCTCTTTGCCCCATGTTCTTCACCTACAAAATAAAACAAATAATATTTACCTAATAAGGTTACTAATTAAAAACTAATTGAGATCATGTGTGTATGGTATGTGTCATGGTGATGAGATCATAGGAAGTCAGTAAATACTACTTTCTTCTGTCTTGCTTGCTCTTTGTATTTGGAGTAGAATGTAGTGGAAACTAGATAAACTTAGTTGAGCTTATAAATATTGATGTTTCTTGAGTACTTATAGCATTCAGTTACACTGCAAAGCTCTGTAACTGTAAGTCATTTAATACTGCTTATGACACCAGGAGGGAAGTATTAGTATTCCAATTTTATTTATAAGGAAACTAATATGCAAAAATATTATTTCCCCAGTGAATTCCAGTGAATAAATGGCAGAGGCAATATTTGAATCCAGTTAGATATAATTTTAAAGTCTATGCTTTTCTCTCAATCACTTGTTCTGTAGGTTGATTCTACATAATTTACAAATGATGCTTATTTTTCTGGAAATTTCCTGTCAGGGATGCACTGACCCGTGCGGGGAGTTACACAAGTAGGATTGCCACATGCCTTGTACGTTAGCCTAGCCCTGGTACGTTACTCCAAGGACTTCTGAGTTTCTCTCAAAGTTTTGTGAAAAATTATTTCCCATAAGAGAAAAGAGTCAATTCCATCTGAATACTCTTCTTCTCAGGGACATCCATTCACATCTGTCTAGGAAGTGACTAAGCAATACACTCATGTAAGTCCTACTCAGAATTTGATCGTCATTACACTATGGATATAAAAGACATGGTAGTTACACTCCAGGCATGTCCAACACCACCCCAACTCCCACCAACTACAGTTTACTGATTTTCTGTACGTCAGCCCTGTGGACTAAGCTCTGCTGTAGTTTTATTCTGCAGCAAAGAGGCCTGGAACCTAAAGAGCTAACTAATTCACACATGGTCACACAGCCAGCCAGGCTCTCTGACTCAAACCCTATGTGAGAAAGCAAGAGCACCATAGTAGGAGAAAATGATGATGTCTTCCTGGTAGCTTGATCTTGGCTGTCTCAAGAGGGAAAAAAATAGAAGCTATGTTATCAGTAATCTTCCAGAGTACTGATACCATATCTTGGAGAGAAAAGTTTAAAAGAAACACTCTTTCTTGATCTGGGAAATGAGTGTTTCTCATGGAAAAGAAAAAGTATGTTATATACATTTTAATCATTTCTGATTTAAATGTTAGTACTGGACTTTATTTTGAACAAAAGAATGATTACGGGGTCTGAAACTATAGTTACTTAAAAGTCTTTGCTTTAAGAAAAGTAGACAAAGCTTCAAAGTTAAGTCATCTTCTATTTGGATAGAAGAATATTTTTCTAGGATAAATTTTATTTAAAACTAAGCAGGAGGACTACAATAGTCTTCTCTTTTTCCCTAACTCCTGATGCAATTTTTCAATTTGTAAGGAAGTCAGAAGATGAATTTCTTTGCAGGAAATGTAACATTACATAAATATTTTCTCAGAAGGGGCATGCACAGACAACATTAATTACAAGTGATGAAATGGTATAACCTTATGACATCTAATTTTGGTTGTGTTGTAATGTATTGATTGATGGAATCCAATTTCCTTTTTTACTTTATTTAACTCCATCTTGCAGTTCTTGAGGAGAAGCCTTAGAGCTGAGCAAACATTGTAAGTAAGAGTTATGTGTACAAAGTATTCATTTATTTTCAAACTGGAAAGGACACCCCCCACACACTTGGCCAGCTAAGCACAGATTGTACTAGTGAGCAAGTCAAGAATAAAACCATCAACTTCAAGTTGCTGCCGTCAGTGGGGTGGACAAATGTCCAGGCCTGTGTGTTGGCAGATGGTGTGGTGAGGAAGG